ATTGCAGTTTTTATAAACTAATTTATAAGATATAAATTGAAAAAAGTAGAATTAAATACAAAAAAATTTATCAACATAAAAAGGCACCATATATTCTTATACATTTACATAAATAGTTGAAAATATTTACATTTATAGGTAAAACAATTATAATATTAATTTTATTCGTCATCAATTACATCTTCATCGTGATCTATGTCATCCTCATCTTCAATTATTGGTGGACTATTATTGCACCCTTCACCTGAGCACCCAGAACAAGTAGAGTTACAGTATAAACCAACTTTTCTGCACCCACATGAAACACCGCATCCTTTTTTGCATTGCCAAAAAATAATTTTCAAAAGTTCATCGAGTGCAGGTTGTTTGTTCATGCGTACGGGTAAAAACAAACCATCTTTGGAATACCATCCCCAATCTGTTGCTCTAATATTTTCATTGCCAAGTCATAGACATATGAGCAGATGTTTTATTCTGTTGTATGGGATTTCAAAATAAGAACGCTTAAAATTTCGAATGTATAACGCCCCACTAGCTAATATACCGGTTTTGTAGATTATTATGCTCCGAAATGTACTGTACTATATGTTCCGGAAAAAAATTCACTGGTTTTTTTAACGTTGTTCCTTTAATTTTTAACGATAGAGTGTTTCTTCAAAAACGATTTGTAGAGGTTTTTAAGAGCTACAAGAATATGTAAATTAAATCTTTTTGGAGCCCTTGGTTTTTAAATGGGGTGAGTTTAAAGGGCTCGAAAAAGATGGTGCTTGATCGTAAATCGATGCTTTAAACGGCTATATCTCGCCAAATATTCATTGTACAACAAATCTAAATAAAGGATAATTTTAGTCATTAACAAAGCTACAATTTGGTAATTTGTATTTTTTTCATATATTCAGTATTTTCGGGCATATTTAAAAAAAGAAAGGTAAAAAATATGAAATTGTAAATCGTTTCTCGCTTTAAGCTGTACTTTTTCTAACACAAAGCATTTTAAATGGGTCAAACTTCTTGGACGTATTAACAATATATGTACAAAGGGAATTTCAGAAGGGTGAAGATCGATTTTAATTATGGGGGTGGTTAGGGGGTTGTTTTCATCGATTTTTTCGTAAAAAATGAGGTATTGACCTTATTTTCATCATAACTCACTCAATTTTTGAGCTAGAGTCTTTTTTATGATAGGTCTATTTATGCTCTTTAAAAAAGGTTTTGTGAGTTTTCTTCCAAAAATGCATCATTTTCCCGATATTGGGAATGATTTGATTTGATTTTGAATCTTTCAAATTTGGCATTTGAAGAAAACCGCTGAACATTGATAGGCCGTATTTCGGTTCCTATTATATCCCAAAAACATTTTAAAAAATGAATTGTATTTGTCTTTTTAAAAGCTACAAATTTGTTCTCTACAATTTTTTTGATAAAATGCACCATTTTCGAATTATTCGCGAAAAATCGATTAAAAACGTGGATTTTTTCGTCTAAAAGTTATTACTTTCAATCGCGAATAACTTGAAAAATATCATTTTATAAAAACAATGTATAGCACATTTTTTGTTTAGAATCACTTTTTTAATCGAAACCTGTAGTTAAAACGTAAAAAAAAATTTCACTTAGGAGATGGGGTGGCAACCACCCCCTAGGCTTTGGCGCACTTTGGTTCGATATAGATTTTGATCCTTAGGCTATTACCTACCTTCTGTTAAATTTCAAGTCAATTCAGGGAGCACGAAAAAATTGCGAGGTGAAATGCTTCATTTCCTGGACTATAACTGGTTTGACAGCATAAATCGTAGATTTATGTGTAGCTTTCAATTTTTATGAGTTCAGAATCCAGCAGCCCGCTTAAGTATTGGATTTTTATAATATAATTATTTGACAATATTTTGTTGGCCAACCACCTACAGCAGAATTGAGCCGAAATACATTATATTCCTATGTTCCGAATTTATTTCGTTCAATCTGTATACATCAAAGTTAAATATTTCATTGTTTAGGAACTATATTTATATTCAAATAGAATGAAAAACTCATTTATACATACCTTAATTCAACGCCTTCCATTTTTACAGAATTAACTTTACAAAAACAACTTAATCAGCTAAGTTCATTATCTTCGACACACAAACACAACGTGGTTCTTAGACAAAATTATAATGTTCTAACAGCAGAAATACCTGATTGCTATTGGTCGCATCTGATAGAACATTATATATATATATTTTTTTTTTATTAGAAAAAGATGTCGCATCCACCAAAAGGTTATTAGCGACGGAACAAAATATAAAAAACAAAGTTAAATACCTACAGATTGTACAAAATGTTTATGGATCTAAGATTATTCACTATATTGTTACAGGAACAGTTTTGACCTAGAGCCTTTAGTAGAACGTTTGGGATCCTGTAGCGCTGTCTTTCTTGGTCATATTTACTACAAATTGTTAAAAAATGTTCGACTGTTAATCGGACGTTACACTGATCACATATAGGTGGATTTTTCTTTGTAAAAAGGTAGGAGTACGTTAATCTGGTATGTCCTAGGCGTAAACGCTCAACCGCAATTTGTTCTCGTCTATTGAGCGACGATGGAAACCACTGAGACACATTATTTTTGATTTTATTTAGATTGGAATTAGTTTGAGACCACTCATTTTGCCACAAACACCACACTTTATTTTTAAAATAAGCTTCTAAGTCACTAAAAACACACTTGTCTATCGGCTGCGACAAATCACTTAAAATTGCCTCTCGTGCAGTCCTGTCAGCTTCTTCATTTCTTGTTATTCCGACGTTTGAGGGAACCCATAAAAATTGGACGCATCTTCCATGTTCATAAGAAATAATAATATCTGGAGAATATTTAGATAAAAAAAGCTGTAGCATAGGGAGACGATGAAAAAAATCCATCAATGTTCCATTAAAGTATCGAGTTGAATGTTGTTAACAGATTCGGAGTTAGATGATACTGAACAATTGTCTACAGAAGAGTCACTATCTAAGTCAGAAATCTCTTTCTCTAAATGTTTGTGTAATTTCTTTTGAAGTTTTGTAAACTTGCTTTTTGTAGATCTATCATTTGCATATTGATAGCTGCTTTGTAAAAGATGGAGTAAACCACAGATATCAGTTGTAAATTCTTTGACGACGCTAATAGTGTCGGAGGAGCCTTGGACATTATCAATCAGTAAGGACAATTGGTGGTAATTTAAAACGAATGGTGGGGTATGATTATCAATGAAATTTTCAAGAGTTTCCCGTGTAGATGGGACTTTATATGAGCGCGGTTTTTTTGGTTTAGAGGGTTTGGGTTTTGCAAACAGATTTTCTGATGAAATTACTGAGTCTGAAGGAGGCGTGACGATCTCACCAATACTGCGTTTTATGGAAGAACTTGTGTTTTCGGAATTGTTATTAGAGTTTTCATTTAGATGCTGTGGCTTTATTACATTTGGAAGTACTGGAGCAAACTCCTTGGTAGTGACAGAACTCGAGCTTGAACCTTTATTTGTAAGATTGGTTGAAATGGTTGTTTCAGAAAATTGTCTTGTTGTATCAGTTTTATTAGAATTTTCTGCAGTTGTATCTAATGAAAAAGGAGCTGATAGATTAGAGGATATTGCTTCCGAAGTTTGTGAAAACGGTATTGCTACTGAATGAGGTTGATTGAAAGTGTTGTTATGAGTAGGAGCGTTAGTAATTTCTTTGTCATGGAGATTTGTAGGTGTAGGTGATATGCTTGGATTTGATGATGGATAACTTGATGACTGCTGGGTGTTTGGTACCTTGTGTAGTATACTTGTTGAAGCTGTTTGATTTGGTACTTCATTGTTTGACTCAATATGAGTTGATTCCGTTACCGAACTGTTTTTGCATTGGGATGATATGTGCCCTGTATTTTTGCAAATAAAGCAGGTGAGTGTACCTTGTGACAAAAATATGCGGTAAGGTGTTTGGTCGAAATTTATTAGAATAGAATCTGGAATTGGTGATGTTATAGGGCTTATATAAACTTGCCTCCGAAAGCTCAATATGTGACTATATTCGGGAAGAGTCGAGCTAATTTTCAGGAAATGTTATTGGAGAAATAAGCTTTAAACCGATATTCTCTAATTCTTCAACTAATACTTGATGAGGAATTGACGGGCAGACTCCAGACAAGACTAGTCTTTCTGCTGGAGAGACAAGTCTTCTTGCTGTTACTACTTCGCCGAGTACTTCTATAGAGCCATATTGTGTCATGAAGTTATCTACTACGGTCTTGTTCGCCAAATACATGCAGATTCTATTATGAGATAATCTAGATGAAAAAATAATATTTTTTGGGTTGATGATTGTGCCCAAAGGAATGAGATAATCCTGCAGTTTAGCATTATCGATACAACTAAATACAATTGCTTGGTTCTTACTCGGAAAAGAATGTGAAGCGGCTGAAGCATAACTGTTTGTGATATTTGAACGTTGATTTACTGGACTGGTTAGATCGAAAGGTGTGTTTACATTGTGTGAAGTCATTTTGAGGTGCGGTAGCGAAGGCCTTACTCCGACTCTGGTAAGTGAAAAAACCAGTCGCATGCTACTATAAGCTACTTATAGCAGCTAACCTCACAAAATGATTGTATGGTAGTTTATATTTATTATTTGACTTTTTCTTTTCACAATAATAAAATAATAATTACGTATAGATGACTTACGTAGTAGTATCTAGTAGATAAACACTTTAATTTTCATAGAAAATTATAGTATTAAGCTATTTTTAAATTTGTCATTTAGAACAATTTAATATTGACTAAATCTAACGATACGATCAAATATTTATGCAGGAGTCGATTTTAATAGAACAATATGGCATCCCTTAAGCAAATTCTGTACATATCTCGATTTTCACCAAAAGTGCTGATAGAACATTATAACACTCGACCGACGACTACCAGAGGCGTCCGACAAGGAGACGCAATAGCACCAAAGCTCTTCACTACAACTCTACAAAATATATTACTTACCTCCTCAAATTTTTTCTTGACTGAATACGGGTAAAGTCAAAATCTTCTTTAAGAATATATAAAGCTGCTCCCCACTTTGACTTCTTAAAATAGTCGTAAACTCTATCCATGCTCATATTAATATCTTCAGTAAACTCTTCTTCTGTAACCGAATCTCTTAAAGCCATAGTTTTGTCGTTACGAAAAATCCAAGTGAATGATACAAATGGCTGCAATATTACGTTTGCTATGTATATTTTTCTTTGAAGTGAAAACATCCTAAAAATGATATTACTTTTTTAAACTGAAAATTTTTAGAGTCACGATAAGAAAACAATTTCAACTTAACTTAAAAAATTGTGTAAGTTACGTATATTTGGAGCAACATGATAATATTTCATTGTAAAAATAAATTGACCAGTGGCTCATCTTTAGAGTTGATGTTTAGTAGACGAGTCAAGTTAGTAGAAAATAAGCGTTTTTTCGTCACAAGTGTATAGACGGGTTTGACAGTTGAAATGGATAGTATGAGATATTACAAAAATACTCTCATCTAGGGATTCATGGATTTTTTAGTGGAACTATTTTTAAATAAACAATTAAGACGTCAATATCATTATTTTGCTCATAACTTATAAACTTGTCTATTTAGAGATTTGACGTCCACAGACGAGTTGTTGAGAAAGAAAAAATACACAAAATGAGATATACTAAATTAAAATCGGTTAATAAACAAAAAAGTTATTGCATAATAACCAAGTAAAATGGCTGTTTTTGATTATTGTTAATAACTCTTTTAATAATCAATAAAATTTATTTAAATGTATTTGAACTTAAAGATCTCATCGTGTTCGAAGTGTGTGCGAAAATAGGCTAGATCCGTCAAATAGTTTTTGCACAATTTAATTTGTTTATAAGATTTTTTGAAAAATGCACAAATTTCTAAGGCCGGTCCAGATCATTTGACTGAATGGATCATAATAATCCGGGGCTTATTTTCTTCGATGAGACATATATTATTATCCTGTGGAAAAAAAATTTAAAAAAAAATGCGTTTATGTACACAAAATGATTTATTAATAAATAGCACATTTTAAGTTTATAAACATTTACAATAACTCCGTACTATTTAGTTTAAATTAAATGGCAATAAAATATTCGGAAGGCGGGTTTAAAAAACAACAACTTTAAAAAAAAAAGGTCCTGCGACCATTAGGAGCCGAATTAGTCCTTTTTAAAAAAAAATCACTGTTACGTCAATTAAACAACATTAAGGGCTGAAATTAACCAATCTTTTAGAAGAAAAGTCAAAGTTATTCTCAAAATGTTTAGCAAAAAAAATAATTAAAAATTGTTTTAAACAGGAGTGTTGTAAACGAAGAGTACTTTGCGTTCCGACTAGAATGGAAGGAGTGGGGATTGCCGATCGCACACAAGCCGCGCTCTCCAAAAAAGTCAAGCGCACGGTTTCAAAATAGATTGCTTGGAAAAAAATGACATATCTCGGGTTCTAGTGGACCAAATTTGTTCTTTGTTTTTTTAAACTGGGTACAACGTTAAAATAATACTATTTAACGTACTTTCATTGCAAAATTATTCAAAACAAAGCAGCTAATGACTACGGAATGTACAAACTTTTTCTTGAGTCGTCTTTTTATTGTTATTTTTCTATTTATTTATTTCAAATATGATTATATTAAATAACTGTTATAAGTAAATAAACATTTTGAATAATGTTTACTAAAAATTTATTAATGAAATAATAAATTAATTTTATGTTATTACAGAAGTTGAAATTTTGTGTAGTGATTTTTTAAAATAATTTAATTTACTGTAATTTTCTACGCTTAATTTCTATATCGTCACTGCTACTACTATGTAAACATTCATCTTCACTTTCATCTTCAATTTCACTTGTATTATAACTTTCATAAATCATTTCATTTTCATTGTCGCTATTCTCACCCCGTTAAATACATTTCATCAATTATCTCTTGTTCATCTGTTGTATCGTTTTCTTCTTCATTAATAATTTCATAAATATTAGTACATTATAATAGTAAAATAATATTATATTCAAAGTTAACCGTATATTATTCAGACAACGTGGTACAACCATGTGTTTATATTAATATATATATATATATTATATATATATATATATATATATATATATATAATATATATATATATATATATTATATAATATATATATATATATATATATTATATATATCAGAACACGTAGTTTTTTCTAATATTCAGATGAATTTTACGTACCATTAATTATTTGTAACAATTATTAAATAAAACAAAACATAAATATTTCAATACAACAAACCCCCACTGCTTCCATTTGAGTCGGAACGCAAAGTACTCTTGGTTTACAACACTCCTGTTTAATCAATTTTCAATTATTTTGTTTGCTAAATATTTTGTTAAAAACTTTGACTTTTCTTCTAAAAGATTGGTTAATTTCAGCCCTTAATGTTGTTAATTGACGTAACAGTGATTTAAAAAAAAAAAAAGGACTAACTCGGCTCCTAATGGTCGCAGGACCTTTTTCTTTTTTTTTAAGTTGTGTTTTTTAACAAGCTTTCCGAATATTGTATTGCCATTTAATTTAAACTAAATAGTACGGAGTTATTGTAAATGTTTATAAGCTTAAAAAGTGCTATTTATTGTTAAATCATTTTGTGTACATAAACGTAATTTTTTTTAACTTTTTTTTTCCATAGGATATTAATATATGTCTCAACAAAGAAAATAAGCCCGGATTTTTAAGATTCATTCAGTCAAATATCTGGACCGGCCTTAGAAATTTGTGCATTTTTCAAAAAATCTTATAAACAAATTAAATTGTGAAAAAACTATTCGACGGATCTAGCCTATCTTTCGCACACACTTCGAACACGATAAGGTCTTTAAGTTCAAATACATTTAAATAAATTTTATTGATTAATAAAAGAGTAATTAACAATAATCAAAAACAGTGGTTTTGCTTGGTTATTATGCAATAACTTTTTTGTTTATTAACCGATTTTAATTTAGTATATCTCATTTTGTGTATTTTTTTTCTCAACAACTTGTCTGTAGACGTCAAATCTTTAAATAGACAAGTTTATAAGTTATGAGCAAAATAATGATATTGACATTTTAATTGTTTATTTAAAAATATTTCCACTAAAAAATTCATGAATCCCTAGATGAGAGTCTTTTTGTAATATCTCATACTACTTATTTCAACTGTCAAACCCGTCTATACACTTGTGATGAGTAAAAACCTAACTTGATTGGCCTATAGGGCGTAGCTGTAGCCAATTGAAGCTGAAGACAGAGCAGTAAGTAAAAAAAGTTGACTGTAGCCAATCTTAAAAATGTCAAGCACTTTATCATTACAATATCAAACAATTATCCTAACAAATTTAAAGCACTATCATTTTTGCTTAAACAAAGTAAGTGCTTGGTAAAAATTCATGGTTAAAGACGTAGCAGCCCTAAATCGCTTCCCAACTGGTAGCGAATATACACTTCTTCTTCTTTGGGAGCCGTGTCCGTATTCAGACGTTGGCCGTCATCATGTTTACAACTTTCTGAAACCATTCTCTGTCGGCTGCTGCACGAAATAATTCTTTTACTGTGGAACCACACCATTGTCTAATATTACGTAGCCGTGAAAGTTTCTTTCGACCAATCCATCTCTTTTCTTCCACTTTTCCTTGTATTATAAGGCGAAGTAGATGGTATTTAGGTCCTCTAATTATATGGCCGAAGTATTCTGTTTTTCTCCTCATTATGGTATCTATGAGCAGACGTTCTGAATTGATCATTTGAAGAACATCTTCATTGGAAGTGTGCGAAACCCACGATATCTTTAGGATTCGTCTATAGCACCACACATAACATTTCAAGACCTTCTTACGAATATTCATCGACAGGTTTCTGTTGCATAAAACTGTATAAAATAGTCTTCTAACTATTTGTGTTCAATCGACTACTATATTTTAATTGAATATTTTAATTTGTAAAACTAATAGAAACCAAATAGGTAAAGAAATAATAAATAAGACTTACTCACAATCAATTTAATTTAACTATCTGACGACCGGTTTCGCTTTCTACAATATGCAAAGCATCTTCAGGTCTCGATACAAAGTTAAACATATGCTGAAATGATAAAAACCCATATTAGGGTGTTGACTAATAAAGATAAACAAATTAGATGTTTTAAATTACAATAATTATGCCAATATTACATGTCTGTGGTTTTATTTAAATGAGTAAGTTGAATAAAAGGTATAAAATTTTTTTAAAAAGGTTAAACAGACAAGGTAAGGCCCACAAATTGTTATAAAATAGTCTCTTCGATTGTAATAAATTAATAAATGAGCAAATAAATAAATAAAATAAACATTACTTACATGCCGGTACTCTATTAATAGATGGATGGTAGAACATGTTTGAAACTTCTCCACACGTTTGGTGTTCTCCATTGTTGAATGGAGAACTCAATACTATTATTGCAGTTGTTTGACAGTAAACAGGAAGTTCTTGAGGAGATAGTTTTGATCCAATGAATTTGAGATATGTGTGAGATTGTTTGTTAAATGTAAGTGATGTAATATACTATTTTCTACTCTCTTACTAGTAAATTGTATATTACCTACTATTTGGATGCTAAGTAAATGCATCATAATAGATACTGACACGTAATGACTAGCACGTAATAAAAAAAAATACGCTTCAGTTTTATAAAAATGTGTAATATCACATAAGCCTCGTTAGTCAGTTGGTCGAGTTACCATAGAAACGAATTAACAGACGTTATTTTGACAGATTAAAAATTATTAATCTGTCAGTGTAAATATAGTGGAAATTTAATTTTTATTTTTATTAACGAAAATAATCGTAGAAAAAGTATAGTACACAACTTGTGTTGTAAGCTTATTACATGCTTGTAAAATTACTGCGCTCGCCGCTACGCGGCTCGCGCGCAACTTTTTTACTCGCATGTAATAAGCTTCTTACAACTCTCGTTATGTAATATACTATTGTGTTATTAAAGGCTATTTATACTTATTCCAGAGATATATTTTTGAAATGTGTATTATTTATTGAGTAATTGTTTTATGACGGTGACAGCTTTATGACAATGAATAAGTGTAGATGTAAAAATTGTGTGGGTGTGCAATTATTTTCCAACTTGTAGTTATCAAATTACTTTGATAAAGTTCTACTGGCAATGAGTTAATTATTGGAATAGTCAAGTGAATAAAATGGTAAAATACAAACAATTAAGGATAATTTAAACACACTAAAACAGAAAACACTTAAAAGGGACGAAACAAACATTGAATTTAAAAGGGGAAGGACTTTAATGCACTACATCATAGTATTTGGCACAATGAGTTTTTTTATTGTTGTATCTATTAGATTTTAGTGGTAAATTTTGACAGATGTAGGTTAGCATGTGACAGTTCTTCTTCTGTTTCTCAATACTGTAAGTTAAGTTATCTAGTTTCATAAAATATGCTGTTATTAATGAATGTCTATAAAACTGTTTCAATTTAGATATCAATCTAAAAGATTGATATCTAAATTGAAATTCTAAGAAAATAATTGCACACCCACACAATTTTTACATCTACACTTATTCATTGTCATAAAACTGTCACCTTCATAAAACAATTACTCAATAAATAACACACATTTCAAAAATATATCTCTGGAATAAGTATAAATAGCCTTTAATAACACAATAGTATATTACATCACTTACATTTAACAAACAATCTCACACATATCTCAAATTCATTGGATCAAATCTACCTCCTCAAGAACTTCCCGTTTACTGTCAAACAACTGCAATAATAGTATTGAGTTCTCGATTCAACAATATAAAGTAGTTTCAAACATGTTCTACCATCCATCTATTAATAGAGTACCGGCATGTAAGTAATGTTTATTTTATTTATTTATTTGCTCATTTATTAATTTATTACAATCGAAGAGACTATTTTATAACAATTTGTGGGCCTTACCTTGTCTGTTTAACCTTTTTAAAAAAATTTTATACCTTTTATTCAACTTACTCATTTAAATAAAACCACAGACATGTAATATTGGCATAATTATTGTAATTTATAACATCTAATTTGTTTATCTTTATTAGACAACACCCTAATATGGGTTTTTTATCATTTCAGCATTTGTTTAACTTTGTATCGAGACCTGAAGATGCTTTGCATATTGTAGAAAGCAAAACCGGTCGTATTATAGTTAAATTAAATTGATTGTGAGTAAGTCTTATTTATTATTTCTTTACCTATTTGAAATGGACTCACACAAGCAACACATTCATGATTTTAATAGAAACCAAGTTTATCTATTGTATATCGTTAGAAATAAACTATCTTATCTAAAATGACAAACATTACTAGTGTTCCTTAATAACTTTTGTTGTGTTTAGTACCTATGTTCATTGCTATAGATATACATCCACAATATTGAAAATTAAAATACTTACATAGGTTTTTTTCCAACCAGTCTTAACATAAGATCCACGAAGAATGCTGGAATCATGTGAAAAAGTAGTACTTGTATATAAAAATTATACCAGCAATTTGTTACACTAAATCTAGGATACCACATAATTGTAGAAAAAGGTGTGTCTAATATAAGTTTTCTGCCCATTTGGACTAATTCTCCCAGATTCAGCTGACCTATGTTTCCTTGTGCCAAATTCAATACTTCAATATTTTCAGTTCCTCTAAAAAATAAGTAAACATTTGGAGAGCAATTTTATTTGTCAAATGCGGGCTAGAGATATGATTATGGATATGATAAATATGCTACTGTCGACGAAATAATGTTCATTAAAATGCAAATATCCACCAATACTCCACACTACGGTGCATCGAAACAGGCGAATTTTTTTTACGCTGGAAAGTAAAACCTCACAAAAGTTGCCCAATCAACTGTTTAGTATTTTGGTAAAATCTGGTCAAAATTGGAAAATATCTTCTGCCCCCCCCCCTCCCAAGACAATTAAAAATTTAAAAAATATATAAACAGACAAAATAATGATTATTTTAAGACAAAAATGTAATACCTCACAAAAGTAAAATTGCGTTGAAATAAAAATATATTTTCTGCCCCCCGCCCCATATAGCACTCAAAATTTGAAAAAATACATTAACAGGCGTATTTTTCTTTGTAACGGAATTATAATACCTCTAAAAGTTGAATTAATAAATTCGATTTAACTAGAAAATATTTTTCGGTTCTACAAAACAATTAAAAATTTCATCTAAGAAAAATATGCGCCAATATTTTTTTATAGCAAGATAGCCCAACTTTTCCTTCTGTCTCCCTGATGCCACCAACGTTTTTTTAATACTGATATAAAAATAAAAATAAAAAGAAACTATAAATTTAAAATGGTGTATTACAGAAATGGTGGAGAAATGTGATCTACAGAATTATAGACCTATATCGTTGCTCAGTCAAGTATACAAACTATTTATGAGAATTATTAATAACCGGTTAACCTACAAAATAGATAATTACCAACCGGTTGAACAGGCTAGCTTCCGCAAAGGATATAATACATCAGACCATCTGCTGACAATGAGAACATTGATAGAGAAGGCAAATTAATACCAACTACCAGTATTCTTACCTTCGTCGACAATGAAAAGGCGTTTGATAGTATCGAGATGTAAGCTGATTGTTGAAGCAATTTACGTTTTTTTTATGAATGAGTTTATGGATGATATCAGGGTTATAGCCATTATTGAAAGCAATCTGTTTGATTATATTGAGTTCTTGGTTGTAGTTAATGTTGGATAATGGGATGGTTTCTAAACGATGAATGAAACTATTGAATTCAGCTAATTTGTGTGAAATTGGATGGTTAGAATCGAAATGTATGACATGATCTGTTTGTGTGGATTTTCTGTATATGCTATAATCAAAGATATTGTTGACTCTATTGATAGAAAGGTCCAAGAAATTGGTAGAGAAGTTGGACTCTAATTCCATAGTGAATTTAATATTGGGATGAATATTATTGGTGTGGAAATTAAAACTCGTATAGAAATTGCAAGAAGAGCATTTATGAAACTTAAGATCTATTCTGAGCAATTCTCAGCTGAACTTACAGCTGAGAATTAAGTTCCTAAAATGTTATATGTATCCTGTATTACTGTACGGATGTGAAACTTGGATTATAAAGGTTAACATGATAAACAAATTAAAAGCTTTCGAGATGTGGTTATATCGTAGAATGCTCAGAATATGATGGGTTCGACACATTTCAAACAGAGAAGTCTTAAACAGAGTAGGTCAAGGTGAAGGTGACTTAATAAAGATGATAAACAAAAGAAAACTTGAATATCTGGGGCATATAATGAGAGGAAGCAGATACAGGATAATACAGTTGATACTCAACGAAAAGATCGACGGAAAAAGAGGAATTAGTAGGAAGAAATACTCATAGCTGCGTAACCTTCGTCAATGCGGCTTATCAGCAGATGAATTATTACATGCCGCGCAAGATCGAGAACGATATCGGCAAATCGTCTTGGAAGCTACTCACACCTAAAATCTGGGTACGATACTCAAAAAAAGAAGAAGATAATTAAATTTTATGAGTAAGTTTTCTCTCTAAATATACGATTACCTTATTCCTCCATATTTTGCAGTTGCCATTAATATCACTTTTATTGCTATATCTACTGGTATATAATCAGAAGTTTCTACAGCATTTCCAAATGTTGTTCGAAGTATTCCTAAAAACATAAAAAAAAGTACAATAAAATTAATACATGATTTGAAAAGTACTTTAAAAATTTGTACATTTGAAGACACTAGATATTATCCAACATAGATGTCTACGTATTTCTTTAGGTGCTCATTATACAAGTCCCATTTAAAATTGGGAAAGTGGAGAACTTCCTCTTTCTTTCAGAAGACAATATCTAAGCCTAACATGTGCAGTGGCAGTGTCATCAAACCGAAATATTCCAGTACTTCATAACGTTTTTGCTGATCGATTTACAAAACACATCAAATTTCAACATTTCAAAAACACAACATAAATTTCAACAAACACATCAAATTGATCATCCTTTTTACTTTCGTATACAATCCTACTTATCCAAATTAAATTTTCAATTTCCTAAAACCTATGATACCCCATTAATCCACAAGCCTGCATCATGGACAATATTTATTCCTGCTATCGACATCAGTCTAACAAACCTAAGAAAATCAGAGATATCATCAACCGTCATTAAACAAAAGTTTCATACACTATTAAACAGATATGGCAATACCTACAACGTATACACCGATGCGTCAAAAAATGAAGACAGAGTTGGAGCAGCAATTTATTCGGAAGACACCTCAGTTAGTTTCAAATTGCCATCACTGACAACCATCTTTTCGACTGAATTATTCGCAATTCTAAATGCACTATCGTTAATACAAAACAAAAACAAAGAAAGATGTATAATAATCACAGATTCAAAAATTCATTTTTCTCACTGACTCAATTATATTGAGACAAACCCCCTTCTACTTCTTATTAAAAAAGAACTTTTTATTTATTTAGCGTATGGACTTTCACAGTACGATAAATATACAAATACAATTACAATAATATACACATATATATTATATATTATTCAAACACTAAAAATAGTAAAAATAGAATGAATAGAATGAATGACACTAAATATTAATGTCCAATTTACATAGCCATTTCAATTGCTTCTGGGGTACATTCCGCAAAGTCCTGGAGGTTTCCACGGTAGGCACGATTCAAGCAGTCTGAAACGCAATGGCTTATGGTCTGTCTAGATTCTCCGCAATCGCACTGTGGACCTTCTGCACGACCCCACCTGAACAGCGAATCAGCACATTTACCATGTCCGGTACGTATACGATTAAGCCTTGCCCAAATGGACCGGGGCAGATTTGATCCGATGAAATCCTGAGTTGGGGTGGATATCTTAATATAGTCCGATTCTACTGTTGGCATCCATCTTATTGTCCATTGCCTATGTATATCATAGGAATTACCAATTTTTCGAGCAGATCGTATTGTAGGATTTCTAGATCTCAATCGTTGGTGCTCTTTTGAGATGTCTGGATATCTTGATGTATTGGTAATTGTACGTTGGCTACAATTTTCTGTTACTCTCTCACTAATGCTGCTGTACGGCGTAGATCTGGTGGAGCAATATTGCTCAGAGTAGGCAGCCATCTCACTGGCGTTGATTTTATTGTTCCAGTGATTATTCTCATGGTTTGGTTAAGTTGGACATCGATTTTGCTTGTATGTGCACTATTTAGCCATACTGGTGCACAATATTCTGCCACTGAAAAAAACCAAAGCTAGAGCAGAGGACCGAAGAGTATCTGCAGAAGCACCCCAAGTTGTTCCAGCAAGTTTTAATATTAAGTTATTTCGTGTTCTTAGTTTACCGGCTGCGTTTGTAAGATGATTTTTGAAGGTGAGTGTTCTATCAAGTGTGACGCCTAGATATTTGGGGTTGTTGTTATGTTTGATAGCTGTGTCATTTAGAGTTACATGAGAGTATCGCCCGCAAGTTGATTCGACAGATGAAAGAGACAGGTTTCAGTTTTGCTTGTGTTAGGACGTAAGCGTCAGTTCTTAAAATAGTTACTTAGTGTAGGTAAGTCCTCGTTTAGAGCTCGTTCTCCTGCTTCTTTACTATTATCTTGGAAGCCAATGGACAGGTCGTCAGCATAAGCAAATTTTCTCGATTTTGTTTCAGGTATATCTGCTGTATAAAGGTTAAATAATAAAGGAGCTAGCACTGAGCCTTGAGGTAAGCCGTTGTTGAGTTTTCTAACGTTACTCTGTGCATCATTTATATATACCTGAAACAGTCTGTTAGTCAGTAGATTGTTTATCAGCTGACAAGTTTTGAGGCAAGGTATGATTTTCATCAGCTTATAAATAAGGCCCTCTCTCCACACCGTGTCATAGGCAGCCGTGAGATCTATAAATGTTATGGCAGATTTTTCGCGTCTTTCAAAGCCAGCTTCAATAAATGTAGTTAAGGACAGCACTTGGTCACAGCAACTTCGTCCTCTTCTAAATCCAGCTTGTTCAATTGGTACAGCATCCTCAAAAAAGAACTTAAAAACATTTTTAATAAGAACATCCAAGTGCACTTTTTATGGATGCCTTCTCATGTAGGAATTGAAGGTAACGAAGCTGTAGATAAACTAGCTAAAAACGCACCAACTAACCCGATGTCCGAAGAAAGTAACATATTGGTACAAAACGATTTAAAACCATACTTAAAACAAAAAATAATTCAAAAATGGCAACAAACTTGGAACAACACTAAATCAAGGCTATATGAAGTCAACAAACCCCCACATCTTTGGAAACCAACAATAAAAGACAGAAGAGAGCAAGTGATACTTACCCGTCTCCGTATCGGCCATACACGACTTACTCATGACTATTTATTACAGCGCAAAAACAAACCAGTGTATGAAGTGTGCAACAGTGTTCTAACAGTAAACACATTTTTTAATACAGTGTTCCAAATATAACAGTGAACGACTCAAATATAGCATACCCAAGAGACGCCCTAGAAGAGAATACAGATAACCGAAAAATATTTTCCTATCTTAAAGACTGTCAACATCTTCAAAAGATCTAAAACGTACATTTTAACACACATACATATTATTATTATTATAATTATTATTGTAAACTAATGTATATTCACATATTGTATCAACTGTCACATATGTTACATAATCTAAATACGCTAATGACTCTTCGTGGTTGATGCGTTAATAAAAAAAAAATGTAAAGCAATTTTAAATGGCTAGAAACGCCTACGTTAAATTTGATAAATGTCTCCCTTACTTAAAGTGTTACTTAAAGAAGTGAAATAATTAAGTATAAAACTAAGTGAAAGTGATTTGTATACTGAATATTTGAACCGTAAGTAGATAAAATATACTTTTTTCATCTATTTGGATTTAGATATTTAAGTAAATCACTGCAATTAGTTATAAGTATTATCTAATTTCCATGAACTGGTATCACAGCGAAAGCTGTAAAACAGAACCGGTTTTAGTCGGATTGTAAACCCATTTAAAAGATGTCATCTTTCAGTCAGCTACCACAAAATGGATCAGACTCAAAAGCAGTTAGTCAACCACGTCAGAGATCAAGCTATTTAACTGCTATTTAGATATTTAACACTCTAGAAAATTGAAGACAATTTTGAAACCTACAAAGAAAATCTGTTTAAGATCGATCAAGGACAAACTCAACCCATTAGCAACGGCCGGAGTATACCGAATACCATGCACATGTGGAATGGTATATGTGGGAACCACCAAAATACACACAAACACAAGGATAAACGAATATAACGCCATTGTCGTTTAGGACATATCGACAAATCTGTAGTTGCAAAACACGTTTTGGAAAGCGGAGAACATCGGATACTGTTTGAAGAAATTCAGATGCTGGATAAAACATCACACTACTACCCACGGTTATATCGGGAAGCAGTGGAAATATATAAGCATCCAAATAATTTAAATCGGATAGAAGGACTAAACGTTAATAAAACATGAATGCCAATATTAAAATCCACAAACACCCTTCCTGCAAAATACGAAAAAAGAAAAGCTACAAACGACGACACTCCCCATCACGCCGAAACCAGTGGAGCAGAGGCGAGTAGAAAATATAAATATGGCTTCCGTAGTACAACGTTCTCACAAGTTACTAATATCAATAACAATATTCTACCACTTTCACGAGTATAATATACTTAATGTACCGATTACAATGCAAGATCTCAAGGATGTCCTAATGTCAAGTAAAAATTCCGCTCCAGGTCCAGACGGTATACCATTAACTTTTTTGTTAAACCTACCAAAAAATGGAAGGTCTTGGCTATTAAAATTGTACAATTTTATTTGGATAAATCAGGTTTTTCCATCTGTATGGTCAGACAGCATTATAATTCCTCTGATCAAACCCAACAAAGACAGAACAAATATAGACTCGTACCGTCCTATATCACTCACTAATGTAGCATGCAAAGTTCTAGAAAAAATTATAACCAAAAGACTGTTGTGGTACTTAGAACAAGAAAAACTTTTAATTCCTCGGCAAAGTGGCTTCCGTCAAAATAGATCATGCGTAGACAACTTAGTAGATTTAGAGTCAGAGATACACGAAGGTTTTGCAAATAATCAAGAGACCATCGCAGTATTCTTCCATATCACCAAGGCATACGACACGGTTTGAAGATTTAATATTATATCAAAATTACACAAATGGGGAATCAGGGGTATTATGCTAAGATTCATAGAAAACTTTCTTCAGTCAAGAGCTTTCTCTGTTCGCGCCGATAATTCCACTTCATCAAAAAAAAAAAAAAAAAAAAAAATTCAGAAAAACGGAACACCTCAGGGGTTAGTTATAAGCCCAACTCTTTTTCTCGTGGCTATCAACGATATACTGGATCACTGCTCCCGCTAGTTCCCTCACAAGGAAGATTATATGCCGACTGATCTATTTGCAAAGGGCAAGAATATGAGAATGATTTAAAAACACTTACAAGAATCTATTTATAAATTAGAGATATGGTCAATGTCAGTAGGCGTGCAATTCTCTCCACTAAATACAAAATGCATGCTTTTCTCAAGAAGGCACCGGTCACAGAGAACATCTTTAAAACTGTATGGCGAGCCGCTCAAATTCTCAGAAAAAATT